AAGGAGGATAGAAGGAGAATTGATGCCTTTGAGCTTTGGTGCTGGAGAAGAGTATTGAGAGTACCATGGACTGCTAGGAAAACAAGCAAATTCATCCTGGAAAGGGTTAAACCAGGTGGCTCCTTGGAGGCAAGGATTCTGAGGCTCCGTCTAACATACTTTGGACATGCTGTGAGGAGAGACCAGTCCTTGCAGAAGGACATCATGCTTGGGAGGGTTGAGGGACAATGCAGGAGGGGAAGGCCCTCTATGAGGTGGATTGATTCAGTGACTGAGTTAATCTGGATGGGAGTGTCAGAGACAGTGCGATTGGCACAGGACAGAGCAGAGTTTAGGGCTGTCATACATAGGGTGACTATGAGTCGCAAGCGACTCGATGGCACATAACAACAACAAGAACAACATTTTGTATGACTTTTTTGTACGTAGGAAGACCCTCAATGAGGTGGATTGATTCAGTGACCAGGGTAATGGGGGTAGGTGTATTAGAGACAGTAAGATTGGCACAGGATAGAGCAGGATTTAGGGATGTTGTGCATAGGTTTGCTGTGAGTGGCTGGGAACTAGACAACACAACAACAACTTGTCTAGTAAAACTTTAACAAGTAGCAATGACAGTTCTCAGCCTATTAGTAATTCTGAGACTAAAATACTGGCAGTATTGTAGTTTCATACGGATTCTGATTCTACAGTCTTGTCTAGTTATCTGCCTCTTACCTAGATTACATGCACCTTCCCAGAGAGTCAGGATTGCTGAGTTCATGTCGAGGCCCTGCAACCCTTTTCTGATAGGGCCTTAGGTCATTTAACTGAGCCAGATCTACATCTATCATCCATGAAACTGGTTCAGATTTATCAGTTCTGAAGACTTTTCAAATACATAAATCTATTATTCTTAGACAACTGATTACCTTTCGTGTTTCTTTTAAGCAATAATTTAAAGAAAGATAAACCATTGTGAGCAAAGGGAAAAAGTAATTTTGGCTTAGAATTTGACCAGGAGAACACTAATGTACTGAGCACACTATAAAAAAAGTGTAACTGGTGCACTCTCACCGTTTTGGTGGACTTAACATTGGCAGCCAATCTCTGGTCTTCCTCAGTTGGGCCCTCAGTGGATTGGAACCTTTGAGATTAGTCTGGCTGTGTTCTGAGTCTTGTTGTGGTTCTGTAGCCTCAAGTTGGTGGGGCACCCCAATGACAACATCCTGATCTCTTCTCTTTCCCTGTTCTTCAACAGAAGATTATGGGACTACAGTGAACGACACCACAAACAGAAGTAATGGAATCCCTTCCACAGATGTGTCTGACAAAGCTGGACGAGAACATCTCTCGGTAAGTGTGAAAAGTACGTGTATCCAGGCTTGGTTCTGAGCAGGTGACTGCTCCAGTGTTGAAAGACTCTTTCAACACATGTCCCAGCAAGACATTTATAATGTTCCCATGTAAATGTTCCATTAAAGATCAGAGAAATCAATGGAAATAGTTATAAAAAGTTCTATGCATGCATATATAGTTATACAAACACTTAATAAGGGAGCTCTGGTGACTTAATGCTCAGGAATTACGCTGCCAATCCGAAGGTACAAGGTTTGGATTCTCCAGCTGCTCCACAAAAGAAAGATGAACAATCTCCTGTGAAATGTACTGCCTTTGAGAACCCTCTGGAGAGTCAACTCTGAGTCAGCTCTGCCTCTATGGTACTTAACAGCATATCTATCTATAGCTATATCTATCTATACACAGAGAGAGAAAGAGAGAAAAGGCGAGAGAGAGAGAGAGAGAGAGAGAGAGAGAGAGAGACACTTAATTGGTTTTTCTTTTTGGATCACTTTAATTGTAAATTTAAATGGTTATTATTTCAAATATCTGTCCTTTAATAGATATCACTAGAAGGACAAGAAACTGGACTTTGTTTTCTGGATCTGATATGGTGTTTGTTTTGCATACCTTTGCATCTCTCTGCTTAACTTTTTGATAGACATTTGAGTTTCTGTTAAATCTAAGGGATCATCAAGTTCTAGAAGGGACAGAGGTAGAAGGATATAAAAAGATGAATCAAACTACCCCCCCTGTGGGAGCTCATGCTACTGCTGGAGCCCTGAGATGCTGTGTTGGTGTTACCACTGTAGAGTCAGCTGAGTGCAGGTGTGCACTGCCTGGTGTCATGCTCTCTGGTGTGTGAGTCCATTGCTTCAGCGTTTTGTAGTGCCTTCTGTGCTAGGGAGCACACCTTCAGCACCATATTTGACAGTGTGTTATAATCCGCAAAGTGTCATGGCCTTATTTTGGTAAGTACATTTCCAGGTCTTCTTCCTTGTCTCTCTTAGTTTGGAAATTCTCTGAAACCTTCCCAGCATGAGTCACCCTACAGGTATTTGAAATACTGGTGGAATAGCTTCCAGCATCAGAGCAACATACAAGCCTCGACAGTAGCACACACTGGCAGACAGGTGGAGGAGGAGAGACTACTAGTACCTATACTGCAAGTAGGAAATGAACATTGTAATGTGCAAAATAGGGGCTGTTTTGCTCTTTCCTGTTGGGAGACTTGGAAAATCATTTTTTTACAGATGGCATTTTAAATGGTCTGTGCTGGAATTTGAATATAAGGAATGAGAGAAAGGGACACTCTGATGGACCTGGACATTGGTGCTTGTTGGGGATATGCTGTGTAAGGGCAGCAGTAATAGCAAAGTAGGAAAAGTAGATTGTTGCCAGTTTCTTAATGTTTTGTAAAACAACTTAAGGTGTTTATTTATTGCTTCTTCTTGTTGTTGTTGTTGTTGCATGCTGTTGAGCTGGAACTGTCTCATAGCTGACCCTCCTGTGGGTTTTCAAAAGCTGTTAATTTCATGGGAGATCACCCATCTTTCTCCCATCAAGCCACTGGTGTGCTTGAACTATGAACCCTGGTTTGGCAGTGTAATTCCTTACAACACCAGAGCTCCCTGTTTATTGCTTGGCAAGGAGGTATTGAAGGGGGAGTGCGTGCTAGTCACATGACCAGAGATTTGTCTGTTAGTCCCTCAGTTCAAAGCCCTATAAGGCGTCCTTGACTCTTCTTTTCACAGTCATCTAGATTATCATCACATCCTACAAGCTCTGGCTCCGTCTGAATTGAACTCCATCTTCTGTGCCTCTCTCTGCCGCCAGAGCAGCCAGGAATTGGCAGCTCCTGATTTAGCGAATCAGACTTGTTTGGAGATATGGCTTTGTGCTGAGAAACCCTGGTTAGAACATTGTTTTTGAAGTGTTAGTTCGCACTTAGTGGCACACAGTGTAGTGTGTGTGGAACAGTGGTGAAGTCCCATCTTCCAGGCAGGAGACCCAGGTTCCATTCGCGGCCAGCTCACCTCATGTGCTGTCACCAACCTCGGCCAGTGGAGACTTGCATATTGCTATAATGTTGGGTGATTGTTAAAGAAGGTGCTGGACTAAGATGGACCAGAAGGAGAGGCCTACAAATTTACTTCTGAAAATTAGCCAGTGTAAATCCTATGAGTCACAGTAGTCCAAGTTGTGACTCACCATGCAAGTGGCTCAGGATTGGGCAGTGAAGTTGGGCATGAAGTCACCATGATTGGGAACCAACTTGATTAAGCAATAACTTGGTGCAGCATTTTGCCTTGGTCAGCAATGACAGCAGTGCAATCCGACTTCCCACTTGTGCCTCTGTGACCTCAGGAAGCACATATGTCTGAACCTCCTCTCCCACTTGAATCACCTCACCTTATTATTGCATTTTGAACTTGAAATGACTTTGTCTTGACCTGTGGCATATACAAACACACATGCGCTCTGAGCTTGCGGCCCTGTCAGTGTTCATAAGCTGAGCTCACCCCGACATTCCTAGATAGTGCTTCGTCCTTCTAACTCATGGCTCCAAGGGAACTCCAACTTCTAGTAGCAATAATTGCTGTTGTTAGATGCTGTCAAGTCCAGTATGACTTGTAGTGACCCTGGGAACAACAGATCTGAACCCTGTCCTACTCTGTGCCATCCTCCTCATCTCTGACACACTTGAGCCCATTGTTGCAGTCACTGTGTCAATCCTCTTTGAGGGTCTTCTTCTCTTTCACTGACTCTCCACCTTTTCTGATGTCCTCCTCCTGGGAATAACCTCTGCTAACAACATGCTCAAAGTATGTGAGAGGAAGCTTCACTAATCTTGACTGTAGCTAACTTAAAAGTAGTTTTATGCTGAATAATTTTCAGTGATACACCACAGTAGTGAGGAAAGTATAGGGAACTCCACTGTGTGCTTCATCTGGATTTTGCCATTTGTGCTTTTTCCTGATGCCTCTTAAAAATATTAGTTGTAGCTCAATTCTACAAGCTTGGACTTGTGCTTCCCTTTTTAAAGTAGAACCAATAACAAAGCCAGTCCCCATTGCATAGATCTTGACTCAGGGCTGCCCTTTGAAGGATGGAACTGTGTTCCGCAGGGCGCTCAGTGGCTCATCAGTGCTCCTGGTTTCAGAGGCACTTTGGGATGGACTTTAGACTCCAGCCTTCCAATTCCAGCTTGACGCTTTAACCATTTGCACCTAATGCCTTTCCATAACTATCATCATTTCTCCAAATTCTTAGAGTTTCCAGAGGCATGTGGTTTAGGAATTGGATTCCACACCTCCTTCCAAACCTGTTTTACAAGTGGGAGCTCCACCATACACTGTCCACAATGGGAAATCATTATGATATTTGATATCCCAATGGCACAAGGTTCAGCATCACAGAAAACCCAGGTTACTTCATGAAGCACCTTGACAAAGAATGATGTACAAAGTGGACGAATATTCCTCCAGATGTAACAGCACTAGTCCCATTTAGCAGTGGTTAAGTGTCATCAATTGATTTCACATGCAAGCAAGATTCTACTGAAGATTATCCAAAAAGGACTGGAACAGAACATCAGCAGAGAACTGCCAGAAATCCAGGCTGGGTATAGAAGGGATCATGGTACTAGGGATATTGTAGCTGATGTCAGATGGATCTTAGCTGAAAGCAGAGAATGCCAGAGGAATGTCTATCTGTGTTTCATTGATTATGCAAAAGCATTTGACTGTGTGGATCATAACAAACTGTGGCTAACTCTGAGAAGAATGGGAATCCCAGAACATTTCATCGTGCTAATGCGAAACCTGTACTTGGACCAAGAGGTAGTCGTCAGAACAGAGCAGGGCAACACTGTATGGTTCAAAAT